TTTGAATGCATATTAATTTTTGAGATGATTCCAGTGGGTGGGGGTGCGAGAATTGAATCTTTCTCCGATTTCAGAAGGTTGATGGTTCAATTTTCAACACTTTCCAGAGCTGATGAGTGACTGCTTTGTAAGCTTCAAATTGGTCAGAGGGGAAACACTTTGCTAATGATAATTAGAGAAACAGACGCTCTCTTTTTCTTCTTTTAGAGAAGGATTTGTGAAATTTTCACCAGCTTATCTCTAACTATTGCATGTCTTTCATTTTTATCAAATATAAAAATGACCTCAGGGTGTGAGGTACCAAGTTTGGAAATATATATATATATATATATATATATATATATATATATAATTAGTGTATATATATACATATATGCATATATATACTAACCATTTAAAATATCAGTTTGCTTATCGCTACAATGTGAATGATGATAATAAAGTAATAATAATAATATTGGCTGGGTTATTTTGAAAAATAGGTGGGTGAATATGTATGTGTGTGTGGGGGGGGGGGGGGAGTTCTTGAACTCATGGCCCTGGCCTTATCTCTGAGCTTTTTTACTAAAGACTAGCACTCTGCCATTTGAGCTACAACTACACTTCTGGCACGTAGTTGAAGAGCTTCAAGGAGAGCTTCCTGCCCAGCTGGCTTTGAACTGCCATGGTTAGATCTCAGACTCCTGAGTAGCAAGGATTACAGGCATGAGCCACTGGAACCAGATAACTCCTTAATATTAACCTTGTGATTTTTATCCCTATATTCTATTATAGCAAATGACATTGGCTTTCCAACATATAAAAACAACTAAGCCTGCTTCAATAAGTTGCAATTTAGTAATAGAGGAAATTCCAAGAATTTGTTACAATGTAATGAGTTGGTATCTCAGGGTTTCAAATCTAAAGAGATGGTGAACTTAAGAGATATCTATGTTTGATGATGTGTTTGAACAAAGGAGAAAAAGATTTCCACTAGAACTGAGATGCTTTTTTCCTCCATATCTTTTCCATGGGCTGTAGGGAACCAATGAAATCACAACCCTGACCTCCACTTTAATTTTCCTATGAAGATTTGAGAAATTACACATTCTTTCTGTGACATGTCATGTGTTTCCATTTTCCTTTGAGAAATCAAACAACATCTTCACAAAGTGAATCTGTTTGGTAATGGATAGGACAGAGAGCATGACCAGTATTTATTTGATAGAAAAGAGAGAAAGACAGAGTCACTAGGATCTAGGTGATCTTCTGAAGAATAGTTTGTAAACTCCCCTAGGTAATAATGGCACCGAGGGGATCCTGATTAGTTTAGTGGTCTTGTTCCTATTCATTTGTTGACTGAAATACCCTTTCCACTAAAATCCTTCCTGAGTGGATTAATTCCTTCCCAACAGCTTAATGACACCTTCTCCAAGACACCTTTTTTATACTGTCATGGTGAGTGGCATATCATCTATATTCTCCTAACCCTCATAAGACAATACATTCCCTCATACTATAATGATAGGTTTCTTTATCTTGGCCAGTTAGATACCTTGCTTTCTGAAAATAGAGGTTCTCACTTTACTTTGTATTCCCAGTGACTCCCACATCCTATCAGCAGGTCAAATATTTACATAATGAGAAAGAGAATCACCTTAAGAATTTTGGAGTTATATTACCCAGGTTCTGTCCTAACTACAGAGGTTCTTTGAACAATGCATTTCATGCATTTTCTGCCTTAATTTTAAGTATTACCCAACAAGAAATTGTAATCTTTAACTTCAAGATGTGGAGTCAATAGTTATACACATATTCCGTCATTATTTTCACTCTAACTAATATAGCTAATTTATTGTACAAAATGGCTTCGGGTTTGTTGGTGCATTTTACCTGATTTTACATGGTGTGCTTGTTTGACTTAGAGGCTTTCTTTGCCTTTCCCCTGCATTCAGGCATGATATGACATACTCAAAGATCCTGAATTAGTTTGGTAATGTTATTCCTCTCCATTGGTTAACTGAAATATCTTTTCATTCTGACATCTTCTGAGTTTTTTTGATTCCTTCCTACCATTTATATGACATCAGATCTGTGTCTTGTTATTCAAGACCCACATGGGCAGTTTCTACAGGAAGCATGAATTTAAGTTGGGATCAAACTTTCTTATTCCAGAACTATCACCTAAATTATTCACAGAATGGAGTTGGAAAAGTGTTGGACCCAATTTGCAAGTTTGTCATCTCATCCTATCCTAGCTAGTTGACCAACATTACCTCCTTTATTGATCCTCAAAACAAATCCGAGTCATACAGTTATCGTTATTTTGGAGGTAGGTAGTACTAACTCATATCTAGTTGTCTAATTCATATGGGAAAGGACTAGAATTCACACCAGCTATAGAACTCACGACCCTGGAACACAGCATACGAGGATTTGGGACATAAAGGAAGAAATAAAATAAGGAAGTGTGTATTTAGAGAAAATGAGCCTTTTAAATCCAAAAACAGTTTAGGCTGAGGTACTGTGATTAGGAAACTCTTACTATCTGGGGGAGTGGTCCAGCTCTCTCTTCACGGGCATCTCCTCTGCACCCTGCCTTCCCAGAATTACTTCCATCCTCTCTGTCCACGATCACCTCAATGCTCTCTCCCTCATGCTACACGAGGGAATATTTTTTGTGCCTCTTGTGTCACCCCAGGACCTTGTCTATCTGAAGCAAAAATTGTAGAAATCACACCTTTTGGCTCTATTTATTTGTCCATATTACGGAAGTCTCTTCAAGACATGAGCTGTATCACTACCATCCTCATAGTCTGGCTTGACATAATCCAAGAATTACAGTTTGTTGAGTATTTCCCATGTTTGGGCTATTTCTCACCATGCCTTGGTTGTATCACTCACAGTCCCTGCTACTCTGTAAGCTAAGAATTCTGATCATTGTCATTGTGCAGCAAGAAAACTCAAGCCCAGGTACCTTGAACATTCTGTCATTACAGAGGGAGTTCAGTAAGGAGAGGTATGATTCAGCCCCAGGTCTGGGAGAGCATGGGCACTGTTCAAAATACTCCAGTACATTTTTTTTTAACATCTCTTCCTACCTGTCTCTAGGAAAAGATATGCCATGCCAAGGGTATGGCATGAAGGCCTTTTATGTAATTAAGAGGGATGACAATTGGGAAAAAACATACACAGATATTTAGAAATTTCTTTAATGGTGGTCTTTTGTGTTTTATTGTCTCTTTTCCAAAGGCTGCAATGTTCTTTGATTTCACTGGACTGAAAGGAGGTCTTCAGGAAAGACTTGATTTCTCCCTAGGGTGCTGGATTTTAGGGAAAGAAGACTTGGTTCAAGACTGTATTCTCTGAGTCGTTCCCTATGAAAAGCTGTTTCTTTCCCTTTCCAAAACAGCTGCTGCTTCCATTGATGCCCTTGCCCTTCACCTGGGAGGGGTCATTTTCACATACAAAGTCCTAGTGATTGACTGAGCCCAGACCAAGCCAAACACCTAGGTGAAGCCACCTACCACCTAGTTAGTTCAGACAATGCCTGTATTTATAGTAGAATTGGTGCCTGTTCCTTACCCCTACCTTCATGAAGGCCGCGTGAGCAACATTAATGATGTTCTTGCCTTTGGAATCAGGGACCTAGAGGTGAAAGGTTCCCTACCCTATTATAAATTTCCTGAGCCAAACTGTTCCGGGTGGTGTCCTGAGGATTTTTTTCCCATTTAATATAATTTAGCAAGCTCTCTCTCTCTTTCCTCTCTCTCTCTCTCTCTCTCTCTCTCTCTCTCTCTCTCTCTCTCTCTCTCTCTCTCTCTCTCTCTTCTCTCTGTGCATTATTTCTTTAAAAATAATTTTCTGAGAGGGAAGGAACACATTTTGCTATGCTGACGGTAAGCAAAAAAAACTGCATTTGACACTTCAGGTAATAGGGATCTATTTTGTCCATCTTTTTCCCCCCTGAATTTCTTCAATTGGAAATCATATTTTTACCATATTTCATTCCCAAAGGAGGTTTTCATAATTTACATCTCCCGTCCAACTGTACATTTAGCATAGAAGGCCTGACACTGTCCTGATTATTGCCTACATGCTGGACTTTACAGAATTCCTACTCTGGATGGATTCTAATTTTATTCTCTTATTATTCGCATTCTGAGAATTGTATTTTGTCCCTGGACAGTCTTCCTGATGGGTACTGGCAGCTGAGATTATAAAACTTGAGTAAAATCCCCCTTCCCATTCTCATTTCTTTTTAAAATTCATTCATTAAAGACTAGTTTCTGCTCCGAGTTCATAGTTCACCTATCTTTAAACATATATATATATGTATGTACATATATACATATATATACATATATGCATATATTTGGTTGTGGGGCCTGAATTCTGGGCCTGGGCTCTGTACCTCAGCTCTTCAGCTCAAGGCTAGTGCTCTACCACTTGAGCCATAGCACCATTTCTGTCTTTTTCTGCTTATGTGGTGCTGAGGAATCGAACCCAGGACCTCATGCATGCAAGGCAAGCACTCTACCACCTTCCCAGCCCCTAAACAAGTTTATAAAAGAAAGGAAAAGAAAAAGAAAAAGATTTCACTGTACTCTATATGTACCCAGATTTCTATTACAAAGAACAATCTAAAACGGAGACACAGGGATTGAGAGAGAAGAAGGGAAGCATTTGAGTTAAGGTAGGACGAGAGAAGGAAGAAAGAGAAAAGGAAAAAGATGGGAAAGAACGTTTTTATTACTTAAATCAGCTTGAAACATTAAACATTAAAATCGAAGCAAATCTCAGCAAGGATAGCATGCCGATATAATTCCTCAGATTATTTTGTTAACTCAGTAGTTTTTGGCAGTAGCAGTATTGTTCACTTGTGTGCTTTTCTTTTTCTTTCTTTCTTTTTAATTTTTTTTCAGAAAGCATGGATTCTGTTTTAAAGCCTGTTTCACTGGAACCCTTATCTTTCTCCTTCCTTGTTTTTGTTTTTGTTTTTTTGTTTTTTGTTGCAGGAGGCTTCAAAGCAAAGGAAAGCCAATGGATTGTGGTCTTAAAAACCCTGCATAGATGATGTCTGTTTTCCGTACTCTAAACACGTGGTAGAGCTGTAAGTAAACGCTCCTCACTGAATGATGAATTGGATGGCTGCAGATCGGAGACAAAACAAATAATTGTCTCATTTTCGTGGTGATTTGCTTAACTGGTGGGACCATGCCAGAACGGCTAGCGGAAATGCTCTTGGATCTCTGGACTCCATTAATAATATTATGGATCACTTTCCCCCCTTGCCTTTACATGGCTCCAATGAATCCGTCTCAAGTTTTAATGAGTGGATCTCCTTTGGAACTAAGCCGGCTGAGGGAAGAACAGCGGATTTTGAACCGCTCCAAAAGAGGCTGGGTTTGGAATCAAATGTTCGTCCTGGAAGAGTTTTCTGGACCTGAACCGATTCTTGTTGGCCGGGTAAGTTTCTGATTTTTGTTGTTTTTGTTGTTGTTGTTGTTAAGATCCTAATTGCTAGAACTGTTTGTGGTCGGTGGATCTTTAATATCAGATTCCCAGATTTTGAAACACTTAGCTGTGAATCCTTTTGACCAGATGGTCTGTTACTTAACCTGTTGATTTCTTTAGGAATACCAAGCTTTTTTATGGTCCTCTTGGGGAAAGCTCTTCCCACATGCTCTACTACCTCTCAGACAGACAGTTCAACACAATACTTGAGTAGTGAAAAACCTTTTTCTTTTGCCTTCCTGTGAGAGCTCCTAGCGACAACCCTTTTCTCTAGTGCACAGTACTGGGAATAGCACTTGGAAAGGTGTGCAGTTTTGTTAAAGCTTGAATTCCTATCACATCAATCATTCAGATAATATTTTGTTTCTTTTTATTGTAAGATGATACACTTCCCATTGCAGGCTGGTTTTCTTTTTCCTTTTCTTTTTCTTCTTGTTGTGCTTGGTTAGAATCCTTAGGCTGGAGAAAGCGAAGTTTGTGATAAGATTCTGTACAGGGTCTGGTGTTGCAGTGGGATGAGCTTTGTGGTAGGTGATTATTTCATTCATTGCCAGAATTTTAGTTTTCTTTTGTAGGCATGTGTTTGGCTCTGAGTCGGGGGGGTATGTGTGTGTAGAGGGGGCTACATGTGTGTTATTGTGGAGAAGTTCTTCTTTTAATTTCGAAGCATACTATCATTGAATGTAAAATTTTAATAATGAAGCTGCCAATGGCTGATTTCACTAGTACGTGAGGTTCAAGAATGAATCACACCAGTATCATTCATTCCTCAAATGTAGTAATTTAAAAGAAAAATAACAAGGGGATTAAACATTGATCGTCAAGATTCGAGGTAACTCCTGGTTTCCCTTGGGATTTTTGATGGCATTGCACTCTCTGTCTTAATGTTTTGCAAATCCAATTGAGGTTTCTCAATGATCATATTGGCTCCTTTCATGTCATTCTCATTATTGTTGGATGGAGAAAGCTTGGAAACAATTATCACGAATCACTATATGCATCTTTATCGAGTCCTTTTAATATGCCAAGTACTACACTTGACCCATAGGATCCTATTAACAGAAAAATGACCTCTACTTTGAGGAATGCACATTCAGGCCAATGTTGAGGATTAAATATATTGTGAATATTATTGTAAAAATATTTGTCTGGCCCGAATTATCCTTTTAATAATTTTTCCATCCCTCATGTATTTATATTTATGGGTCGGCATATGTATCCAAGTATATTCACACATGCATATAGAAACATAGAAAAACAGGTCTATCAAACAGGTTTGTAATCTTTTTCTCATACATTCAAAATACAAAATCCATTAATTATTATTATTTTGGTATTCTTGATACAAACTCAAGTGGCAGAAAGTGACTAGAGACTGTTAATAGTCATAATAGATCCCAATAATATGGTTGTTTGTATATTTCACTGCAGAAATTTTATTGCAGCTGATTACAAGGTGCTGCTCCTTACTGAGCTTAGGGCATTACTTATTGCATAGTAGATATATTGTTTCTAAAGCAGAAGAAGTTCTGAATTCCAATACATACACCTATCCCATTGGTTTCAGATAAGGGCTTGGTGAACAGCTGTATCATTTTTGTTGGTGCAAAAATGGAGGCTTTGATGAACCGATAAACCAAACCTGGATGGCAGGCTTAATACAGGATCTACTTAAGCTGCAAAAACCCTATTGGATATTTCTAAGACCATAATTTTAAACCTCCTACCCAATTATGTACTAGTAGTTAATGGTTCAGAGTTTATAATTTGCACTTGAATTATTGAATGTAAAACATAAAGTCCTTAAATTGTTCACTTCTGAACATTTAAAATTTCTTAAACCAGATAAAAAAGAAGGCTTTTTGTTATCCTGTACAAAATCCTAGAAACATATGCATTTATACTTAATGGCTGGGAAACACCTGTCTGCTTCCTCTACTTATCTTGGTGTGCAGGTGTATCACTCTAGACATGTCTTGAATAATGTTAACAAGTGAACAAACTGTGCCCAGGAGAGCATTGCTTTTTCTTATCTGAAAAGAAAAAAAAACATAGTAATCAAAGCCACGTTTCTTTTGGACTCTGAATCTGCTGGCTTAAATGAAATAATTGAGATAGAAGCAAAGAGCCAGCCACTGGGCATCCCTGAGTGACTTAGTAAAACTAAATTTGTTCTCACTTCTTGGAGTGGCAGAAATCTTAGGGAACCCTGATTTTGAAATGGTTAGAGTGCCCCTGGGTCTTAGCAACAATCACTCTTCATGAATTACCCCATCTGCTTATTCCTAGATAAGGCCAATTTTCAAACAATTATTAAAGCAGAATAAAACTTATTTTCTGAAGAATCTTTCTGCACGCATTTCCAATCATATACCTTTCCCTTTAAAGAAAATTGCTCCTGAATTATGACAGCTCTGCTTTTGAGGGGGTCTTGGATGTAGCATAGCTAAAAATACATTTCAGGTGACTGCTGCAAATTATGAGTAAGGCTGAGTGCAGGTACGATTATATCAGGGTGCCCACCGGGCGCTCTGCAGTGTTTTATCTCTATGCACACTCTTCTACATCTGACTCTTTAAACCACTCCACCACAGTGCTTCTCCCCAGGAACCAGCTGAGAAGCATTAGTTACTTATGCTCTTTTAAAAGCTCTCCTGTGACTCACCATGGTGGGGGCCTGGGACCTACCTGGCTAGGTTCAAGCTCAAGGTCAGAGCCAGCTTTCAAGTGATTGGCTCATCGGAGGGGCACACACCCTTACATCATCCTTGGGCTCTGTCTCTTTTTACATATTGGAACTGCTGCATGCCGAGGAAGAATCTGAGCATGAGAGATGGGAGCTTGGAATATTGATTGTTTTTTGCCACTTTCTGGTTGGTAACCCAAGGAACATTACCAAAGCTTTTTGTGAATTACTCAAATAAATAAGATTTACAAGAGTTTGAAGAATAGTAAGCATTAATGTCTATGTAGTGCCTGGTATGTGTAGGCATCATTACTTTCTTCATTTGTGTGAGCATGTGTGTGTGTGTGTGTGTGTGTGTGTGTGTGTGTGTTTCTGCATGTGTTTGTAGTAGGAGCGATGGTAAACATGCTGACAGTCTCCTCCCTAGGTGAACTCAGGGAATCCAAAGAGAGGACCCTTCATTTGTTCAGGTTGAAAGGGATTTAGTGTTCCCAGGGAGGGTGCCTGGCATTCAGTCTGGTGGACAAGTGAGATACTCTATTTGGCCAGAAGTCTTCATGCAATGTCATGGAACAGAGAAAGATGAGGTGATGTTTGCTTGGTCAGAAGCGTCGTGATCCTGTGAATTCCCTCTTGAATCAGAATGCAGGAAAATTTTCCATCCTTACATAAGCCATCCCTATCTATTGTGTCTAAAATACAGTTTACCTCCTTATTTAATACTATATATTTTTTCTTCTCCCTGATGATCATTATCTAATAAGACACTATATTATATTTTGGATTTGACACTATATTATATTTTGGATTTGTCTCCTAGTAAGAGGTAACTTCCACAAAAAGAAAATTTATTATCTCTGTTGTTCTTCACTAAAAATTCACAGATCCTAGAACATCCCTGCATGTAAGAAGCCTTCAGTAAATATTTTGCATAAATACATGAGGGAATAATCCACTTAAATCTTGGCGGGATTCATACGAGTCATATAAACTCAATTACAATGGGTATAAATAGCATTGTATGTAGTGGGACTTCAGAACCTGAATATTTGTCCCTGAGCTTTTTGACTCAGAACTTGCTCTCTACTACTTGAGCCACAGCTCTGCTTTGGGCCTTGGTATCAAATTGGAAGTTAAGTTTTTCACAGACTTTCCTGTCTAGGATGGCTTTGAAACATGATCCTCAGATTTCAGCCTCTTGAATAGCTTGGGATTATAGGCATGATCCACCAGTGTCCAGAAAGATGGCCTCTTTTTTTTAAAAAGTAAAGTGGGCCGTGTGTTAACCTCCATGTTCTCTTATTCCAGGCCAGCTATGAGTTTAAACCATTGTTCTTATATATTAACATCCATCCATCCATCCATTCATTCATTTTAGTTTGGTGCCAGTAGTGGGGCTTGAACTCAGGACCCGAGTGCTGTCCCTGAACTTTTTCACTCCAGAAAGTGGTATTCAACCACTTGAACCACACTGCCTCCTCTTCTAGCGTTTTTTGTGGCTAATTGGTCTCTAGTTACAGGCATGGGCTATCAGCACCTTGCTATATTGACTTTTAAAGATATTTTTAAGGAATAGTGAAAGTGGGATAGAGTATTAAAAAAAAACCTACTCTTTTACAAAGAATCAGCAGATCATCTTTGTAGAAACCAGGCTCCTGCCACAGCACATTATCTTCCAACTTCTTTCTGAATTTCCACAAGACGGAAGTTACCCAAGCAGACTTCGGTCCTGCCTCTAGCTTTCTGTGGAACAAGTCTGCGCAGAGCCTGATCATGAAACATAAATACCAAGATTTCAGAGTCATCACACATTTCCAGTGTTGGCTTTCTGGGGAAAGTCTGGCCGAGAACAGAGAGAGTGACCCCTGGGAATCGTAACCCAAATAGGCTTATTTGTTCTGGTCTTAGAAAAGGGAGAGAGAAAGAGACAGCCAGAGAGAAATCCATGGTGGGTTTCAATAAATCTTGAAACATTGCCCTCATGTTAAAAGACGTATGCGGTCTTTCTGGTAGACAGTTTGATGTCATCATGAAAACCTTCTGCTATAAGTAAGAAAGGTGATAGATAGGGGTACTCCATTGCTATTTATTGAGCATCTATTATCCTCTAAGTATTCCATTGTCAACAATGTCTCAGCACTGAGCAAACACAGTTCTGTGTCATCTGTCATGGAGCTAATGGGCTGCTAGAAGGAGACAGACAATAAGACAAATAATCGCAGAAGCCCACGTCACATTAAAACTCAGATAAGTACTATGAAGCAGA